TTGAGGCCATTCAGAACCTCAAGGCTCAACTTTCGCAGTTCATTCGCAATTGAGCGAATCACAGTTGTCAGCAAGCATATCCCGGCAGCTATGCTTACTGGTGACTCCCCCGGTTACCGCAAGGCACATGATCTGGCACGATGGGACTTTGGTTCAGTTGCAACAACTCCAATGTTGACGGCTTGCTGAACAACGGACACATCCAGAAAATTTCATCCTCCGTCTTCTTCGCAACTTCGCCACACGTATCCGGCCAAGAATGGTTTTGTTTTCCAAATGAAAGTGTCAGTAACTGCAAAAGTCCTTCCTGGGAAGTGGCATAGAACTGGTTGAGAAACGGGTCCCGTCAGGCAGTCTTCCTGCTGTGCCCGGCACGTCCCCGTTGCCTGCCTTGAGTTGACCGGGGGATGTGGGCTGAACCCAAGAACAACGACACCAACTGACGGCTCTGCCTAGCTTAGGGCCAAGTTTTCTCAAGTCATTAGAGATACTATGAAAGCTCCAGTGTGTCGTTTTCTTGTACACCTCTTTGAAGCTTTGCCGCGCAGGGCTGGTTCTTCAACTTTCCAAAGTCCCTCCGCCTTTTACCTGGCTTTGTCTTTCACGACCGGCGGTGGGAAGAACTTCTCCCTCTACCTATCCATCCTCAAAGATATAAACCTCGTGCAAGACCGCCTTCAGCATGAGCCAGCAAGACCAGCAAGCCTCTCGAAGCGCATTGAGTTACTCCTCAACTCACCAAGCATCGCCCACTCAAGCATCGTATACAGATCAAGACACAAGCGAGCTTCTACGCAAGCTCCAAGAAACTACAGTACGTCTAAGCTCAAGTTTTGACTGGAGGTGTTGACTAACACAGAGGGGCTGATTAGATTGCGGCTTTGAGGACATCGAACAACACGATGGACTCCCACGGCGGCGGCAGCTCGAAGGGCACCTCACCCGATGACAAAGGCAAAGGCTACGACCAGTATGCCATCTTCGACGGCTTACTTCCTCGGATAGAGACCAGAGGACAGAGCAAAAACTCGTCGAAGAAGAGTAGCGGCAAGAAGAAGGAAAGCAAGGGCTCTAGTCAACAGTACGTTTCCACGGCGGACAACCAACCGGCGGGTGCTGATGGACCGAGTCATAGTTGAAGAAGTCACGGCTTGACCATAAACGATCAATTGCTGTTGATCATGAGGGCGCTCGATTTCACCACAGCGTATCTCTTTCGCAATTCGATGTCGATGCCAGCTCTGAGTTGATTCGGAGGGCCCTTCGGGCTGTATGTGGGGCTAGTGAGATTTCCATTAATGACGGCGTAACATGACGTCGGAAGACGTTTGGGTTTAGGCATGGGGTTTCTAGTCGGACAACGCATTTATTGGATTTGATTAATTTCAGGCTTTCTGTCAACATGTCTCATATCGATTTAATACCTCATTGCTATCTACGAACCTACACTGCACGTCATTCATGTTATTCACAAAGACAGACAAGTAGTCGTGTTGTCTCTCACCCTCTTCGCAACGAGTGGACTGTGTCATAGCTTCCGCGTTGAGAGCGGCAGGCAGCGGCCGCCCAAGAACATGGGTGGGATGGAGGGGCATGCACCGCGGCATTCGAGCGGTCACGGCGCTAAAGGCCAGGTCCCGTGTGCCTTCAGGCTGCCAGTGCTCTCGGTGAATGCCAAAGTAGCTCGGTGAGTCGAGCATCGGAGTACTTTTGAGGTGTCATCTTCAACCCTTGACTCCGAACTATGTCGGCTCTAATGATCACAGTCACTGTGTCACAGCAAGTTGAGCGAGCTGAAGCCTAACGTGCCGGTCAACCAGCCCCTCTTTTTGCCTCCGAATACGGGTACCCTTGCTACGCCGTCCTTGGCTTCTAACAACTTCATGTCTAGAACCTGGAAACAGATGCAGCTTGCAAACACAGGTTTACAACAAGTCAACAGTATGAACCCCTCGCCTAGCACCGACCTTAAAGCAACAGGGTCAGTTAGCGGTTCGCAGAGTTTTCCTCCCTTTAGGCGCAATAAAGCCCCCCGTCGAAAGATGCGAAGCGAACATGGGGTTCCACAACGCCTATGGGCCATGACCCTGAACCCCACGAGTTGAGTGTGATCGCTTGACCTCGAATGACCATCCGCGAACGGAATAGCGCAGAGTCGGCCGCCGGGTGGATCTTGAGGAGAATCGGATAAGCGACGCCAGATCAACCACTTGTCGCAACTTTGATTTTCTTCAGACTTCCTTGCTAAGAGAAGCGAGCCGAGATGACAAGCAGATACTTTCCAGGGAGACTCCCGACCGCAAGTTTGGAAAGTTGTCGGGGGCACTAGTATCAGGCCAAGCTACTGAGCCAGGGAGCGTCATTCGGCGGGCGGCCGCCCGGTCGCCCGGGGGTGTTCCGGAGTTGTCCGGGCGGACAGAGACATCGTCCGGACACAAGTCACAAGCAGCACCTGGTTTTTTGCAAAGAGTACTTGCCTTTGAGGGAGAGAGGAATCCACAACCTGCTCATCCCGAGGCTGCTTCTCTGGTTGGCCAATCACTTTGATTTCGTATCCATCTAACCCGACAACGTGCTTACTATTACTCAACCGGCAGCGGCAGATACGGATACGTAATCACGGGAGGCGGCTAAGCGGCGGTGCTGGAGATGCGGTAACGCGGCGAAGCCACACCAAGTGACTTACACCTACGTTTTCTCTCTCTGCCATGGCCCATTGGGCACATGCGCGGGCGGGCGCGGCGTCCGCCTCCCTCGAGCATCACTTTGGGTCCCTGAATTGGTCACCAGGCTTAGCGTCATCTCCAACAAACCACAGATCATTGAACACCTCTTCCCCCCCTCTTCCCCCCGGCACTCAAAAACCCTAGTCTACCGTCATCGTGGGAGCCCGGCGGGCGGGCGGGCGCGTAGGGCAGGGGCGCGCCACGAACCGTGGGCTTATGGAGACTAGGACTACGGGACACAAGCATTCGGCAGAGTAACTTTTATGGTAAGGGATTCGAGAGAGAGGGAAAGAGACTAGGTCGTTACGAAGTAGTGGGTGTGCCTCGTGCCTCATGCCAACGCTGTAGAGTTTGACAAATACTCAACCCTGGTTGACGTGTGTACCTGCCTAGACTGAGGCCAGCCCTGTTGCTCTGTAGTGGGTGTGCGTGTGTGTGTGTGTGCTATTCGTTATCCCGGACCACTCCAATTCCTTGCGTGGTCCGGTATCCCGGGAACCTATCCTAGGACGACGGAAAGGTAAAGGGGAGTGGGATATACCACTACGTAGGATTCTTTGCGTCAAGATTGTTATCTAACCTCCCTCTATTCCTAATCGAGACCTTGAAGCACGTGGGACTTTGGTTTTCCTACCTATTGGTAACGTTTCTCTAGATTTCCCAGCAGCGCGAGGATTCGGTTCCTTCCAAAGGGAAGCGTCTTGAACTGCATTCGGGCTGGCGAATGAGGATGAAGAAAAGTGCCGTGGGACCAACGCAGTTTTCGTATGGCTCTAACCCTTTCTTGCTTGCGCGGCTGTTCGCCAATGCAGTCGGTCAGATCGAGAGGACAATTTTAGGATTCGATATGGCCCCATCGTACAGTACTAACTAACTAAGCTGAACTGAGGGCGGGTTCCTCGGGGCCGAACGGACTTGACGACAAGATGACCCGACTCTGTCATTACAGCAAGGCAACGCGAAGGTACGGCATAGAAGAAGATTGACGTATCTCGTGGTGTTTAACCCCTACCTCTATCCTATGCAAGTCAGGTCGCAATTGTTCGTCTTTGGTCAGATCGATGGACCATCCAACACACCCCAGGATACCGGCTGCTATCGACCAACAGCGGGCCTGTATGTAAGAATACATGTGAAGAATGTACCCAAGCATGCACGCCCTTGAAGAGAAAGCGATCCGAATATAGTGTACACGAGGCCAGGAATCCCCCTTGTCTCGTCGTATCGACTTTACCGCTCTCGTTGAGGAGAATCTCCCAGGGCTGCAGCGAGACCCTCCCACGTATCCCCCCTTCCCCTCCCCTATATGATCTACCTATTCAACCACGCACTCATCGAGTCCGAAGGGAGTCCGAATGCCCCGCTCCAGGCGGGGCCGCCAGCGGGAAGAAGGGTGACGTTCGTTCGTCAGTCCATGCGGCCGGGTTCACGGCGACGTCTCCTCGGGAGATGGGGTACGGGTAGTAGTGTTACATGGGGCGCGACATTGCCCGGGTCCTTTTAATCGTGGACTACTGGGATCTCGTCTAGACGACGGGTGCAGAAAGCGTTGCCAGAGCCCACACTCACTCTCTGTCTCTCTCTTGCGTACTATTAACCAGGCTGCCAGATTAACTCGGCTCGGGAGGAAGGGTGAGGGGGGTTCATCCTCATTACCCACGGACACGGACACGGGGAGAGGAAGAGATACCCTACCTTGGCTATGGGTCCTTTTCTTCAGATTGTTTACTGAATTAGTACTGAGGTCTAGGAATATGTGGGACTGAGCCACCGAACTAAGTTTGATGGGAAGGACTTTGAGTCCTCTAGCTCGGGGCCATGAGGCTATTCAGACGTCAAGGAGGGGTAATGTATCGTCCCACGGCCATCATTCTGATCAGCAAAGGCCAAGAACAACTTTGCTTATGCACCCGCCTAACCTGCGGCGGGTATGTTTGGAGGCTTAGGCTTTTGCGTGTTCCTTTTTTGTGTTCTTTTCTGTAGCTTGTGCAGCTTTTTCTGCGGGAATGACGCCGTTTCCCTCCACGTCCCCCCCCCCCCCCCCCCCCCGCCGCCCACGGGGAAAAAGGGAATGGGGTTTTTTTTTTTTTTGTGGTTGTTTTTTTTTTTTTCTTTTTGTCCCTTTTTCTTCGGGGTCCCTTTTCCCCCCCCCCCCCCCCCCCCCCCCCCCGGGGCGTGCAACGAGGAAAAAGGGACTTTGGTATTTTTTCTCTCCGGGTTGAGCTTGTTTCTTCTCTCCATGGCCCCACGCGTCGCATATTTGCCCCTTTTCGGATGCTGCGTTTGGGCTCCCCCACCAGTGCACAGCATCTTTGGGTGGTTGCGGTGGTGGTGGTGGTGGTGTTTCGTAGGGCTAGGTACATGTACGGAAGGAGGTTGGTTGGTGATCAGGCAACAAGACGTGCCTTTTTCGAGAAATGGCCAAGCGTCTTTGTGTCTGACTGCAGGATGTGGGATTTAGACAAGCACGTCCGCGGCAAAGCAATGATTGACAGCCAAGACTCGACGTTAAACGGCCGCCTAGGTATCGTCTCCTTGCTCTACCGAAGGGCTGGGCCCACGGATGATCCCATTGTTGGGTAATCTACGAATGCCGGGTATCGCGGACTTTGCGGCGGACTAATACCGTGGAGTTAGGAGGACCGATGAACCTGGATATTCCAGGTTTAGCACGCTCGCGGAAACTTTGCGGAGAGTCGTGTTTCGGTCTGTGTTTGTTATTTCTGTCCAGCCTCAATACCAACGGCATATCTCGTGCTTTTGTATTGTCCCGGTGTCCGTCGGGATAGAGCCAACGGTGAGGGAGTGTTCACCGAGTGGAGGTGGATGTTGTCAATCCCGGGAGATCGGTGGTATAGAGATTCCCGCCTAGAGATGGACGTAGTCCATTTGTCGACTTGGCTCGATCGTGGTTCCTCCGCACCGTTCTCTTCAGGCTTGACTTCATGGCTCAGAATCCAAGTGGCTTGAGGGATCCAGGCAACATCAAATCGTCCGGCTGTGAGGCCCGCGATGCGGCCCAACCCCTCTTTTGCTATCTTCCCCAATCCGCGGAGGAGGTTCCGTGGAGGGGACCTTTGCTTCCGTGGCGTTTGATCTCGTTCTTCTCGTGCAGTTACGGGTGTGTCTTAACGCCATCATCGTCTATGTCTCACCATCCCACCCCTCTCGCCTGACATTTCCCGCTCACGCGCGTGTGCGGGTATCACGCGGTTGGCGTTTAATAGGTTTGAGTGGCGGCTGGTATGTCCCTTGACGATGAGGATCGACTATGGATAGCAGGCAGCCTTTAAGACTCGGCTGGAGTGTCTGTGGGTGCGTTGCCAACGTTTTCGAGTAAAGAATTTTGGAACTTTGGTATTCTGTGGCCCCTGAGACTTCTCTCAGAGTATCGTTCTCGCCGCCTCGTCTCTATTGACGAGGGTTCGTTCCTAGCTTCTTGGCTGGGAGCCGGTTATGTGGAAGAAGGCGTGTAGGTAAAGCATAGTTCTAGAATAGAATCAGGGTAGCGGCTGAATCTCTCCCCTGAAGCCTTGAGGGTCTGGTATCACGGCATGCCAGACTATCGAGGCAGCGATATAATTTGCTCTGCGCCAAACCCCTTGGCGTTAACCGTGGGTCTCAAGATTGCTCCTGGGATATTAACCTGTTGCCTTGAAACGACCTACAAGTCTTCGGTGGCTTACTTCTGGCAGCTGTGGACCATCATGTCTTGTCTCGGCGTTAGTTGAGGTCCGCTTCGTTTCGCTGGGTAGAGGTTGCTGCCTATGAGAGGGTGACGGGCATGTTTGCGAGGTCTCAGAGAGGGGTGAGAAAGAGACCAAATACTTCAATGGAATATTCTGGTGCAGCACCTAGAACAATTTTGGGCGTTTGTGTAGACCTTGGATCTGTCTCGATCAAAATGGCCTGATGGACCGTGGCAGGGCTTGTCTGTTGGGCGGCTTGTTAGTCATGTGTGATGAACTGTAACGGCGAGTTTTGATCCAGCTTCCAACAGCATGTTCTGGAAGGAACTTTGTATTGATTTAGGCAACTTCTATTGACCTTGTTGGGGAGAACTCGGGTTCGCCTTGATGGTTGGGGAAACATCGATGGCAAGAGGCATTCCCAATCGCGTTGGGAAAGAGCCATAGCTGCTTATACTGAGTACCTTGTTTACCTTAGTAGGGAAGTGGAAGATGGGGCTGAAGATTTCAACTGTCTGATTGTCTTTCAGAATAGGGCTTAGATCTGTGAATTCGATGTCACCTGATTATGCCTTGCGTGTACCCGGGGTTGTTAAACGACCAACCCCTCTAGAACGCTCCTTTGATTCAGTTAAGGCCATCATGCTGGATGACAGGCTCGCTTCCGACTTTTGGCATTGGCTCACCTAGACATGGCGACTAAGGACAAAGTGCTCACGAGCTTCTCATCATGTACGTTCAGTAAAGGTAGCAGCGCCATGCCTTGTTCCTACATTAACTCCTCATACAGCATTCACCAACGGTCCTTCTCACGTATTCGTTACCTAATTGTACTAGTAAGCTGATGGATAATAAGGTAAGTCCTAGTGATCTAGTTGAGAGTATACTCACTTATAAACCTTCACTGGGCTTAGTCGATCGATGCCTCCCACGTATTCGTTGGTCCTCATTAACGAGCCGGCGGACGCTGAGCGATTCTAGTTGGATGATGGTATTCTTTATAGAGAGTTTAGCTAAGCAGACGTTATAGGATATATCATAGGACACCGATGTGTTCACTACCGATGGTTGCGAACTACCAGTCTCAGTTGTCTCGAATGTATCGAGCTCAATTAAAGAGATGAAGAAAGGTGATCTCAGTTGCGGCTTAAACCTTGCTTAAATAGGTATCGTGAAACTGCTGTGGCACGGCTTTTGATGGAGATGGCAACAAGAGGGGAGGGTTTGAACAAACGTCCAGCCCCATTGGAGAAGCTTAACATGTCTAACGCGGAATGACGATCTTTTCAATACCTTGACTTGTTCATACCATGCATGGTTATGAGGTCTGAAGTAGATCACGATATTCGGCCGGGGGAAGGGCGGGGTGGAGAAACCAAAATGCTCATCGCCGAAAAGCTGAAAGGAGTCTCTGGTTACAGGATCGCAATCTCTCAGTCATTCAGTACCTTCCCACCTTGAGTGAAAATCCAATGTGGATGGCGATGATGGTAGTACTGCTGGAGCAACCAAGAGTGAGGACACCACAAGCACCGGGCGATCGCAGCCATTGATAGAGACTGCTGAAAGGTTTCCTTCTCGCGATTGGATCTGTGCGTAGTAGACGAACCAGCCGGCCGCTTCAGATGCCTTGTTTTGGTACCTCATTTTCAGCCTTGTCAACTATCATTCAGGTCTACAACGCGTTCGTCGTGGCCTACGCATGCTCCGTAGTTGAGCCTAGGGTGAGAATCGCAAACCATTGCGAGGTCTTGAAGATATCAGTGCCAACAGGCAGTGCGTTGCCTACTTAGTCAACGTCTAGGAGGAAACTGTCCAGAGACTAGAACCGTGGAATACCAAAAAAGACTTTTAGTTCTATTCCATTACTGTCAAAAATATCTTGTTTTGAGAAGACTCGTGCTGTCGATGCCATCTCGTTTTGAATCGTCTCCGCCCTTCCCTAGATCAAAGACGTGCGTTATTTTAATCGCATGCCTGGTTCGCGTCTCCCATACATCTGTCGTAGACCGAAACGCCAGCCACCTCTTCCCGGGCATAGTATACAGACCCCATCTTCCAGGGCTCTCTCCATTCGAACGCGTACTACCTCAATACACCTAGTTGGCAAAGCGCTTCGCTCTCGCTTCCTGTCTCGCCTTCTCGGCAGGGTCGATGGCAGCGCTGCGCCTGGTGTCGCGTTCGCCGCCGCCCTCGCGACCACCACCACCTTGGCGGCGGCCTCCAGGGCGTCCGCCATCTCTGTTGTTCCTGCCGCCGCGACCGCGGGGTCCACGGCCGTCGGTGCTCTGTCGCTTAGCATCGCGTCCGGCCTGCTCGTCGGAACGCTCAGGACGGCCGCGCTTGGGACGTCTCTCGGGAAGCGCAGAGTCGAGACCGGCGACACTGCCAACCTCGACGCCAAACTTTTTCGCGCGGTCAGCCTTCTTCTTGGCCTCCTCATCCTCGTCGATGCCGAATCGCTTGGCGCGGTCGGCGCGCTTCTTGGCTTCCGCTGCGGCGTCGGTCGCATCCAGGTTGAGAGCAAAGTCCTCCTTTGGCGCGGCGTCGGCAGCCTCTGCAGTCTCCTCTGTCTTCTTCTCCTCTTCCGCGGTCGTCTCCGCTGCAGGCGCAGTCGCGGCTTCAGTGGCGGGGGCGGCAGGCTCAGCTACAGCAGGAGCAGCGGCAGGCTTAGGTTCCTCAGTAGCCGGGGCAGCTTCAGCGGCGGGCTTGGGGGCTTCGGCGGCCTTGGTGGGCACGGTAGGCTCGTCGTCACTATAATCGATTTCATCCTCCTCGGCGGCGGCTGGGTATTGTTAGGTCGCGATCGAAGAAAGCGCGTGTTCGGAATCGATTGACGTACCGGGTGCGGATTGCGCATCGTTTTCCTTGAGGCGATTGACCAGGTCGAGCTTGTTGCCTGTTGCGGGAAGGCTTCTCTCCTGGAGAAGCTTCTTGAGCTCGGGAACCTTCAACGAGCTATAGTCGGTAGCCATGTTTGCGACAGTTACGTGGGAAGTCGAGATGGGAGAGGTTTAGTAGATACGATGCCGAGACTATGATGCGGCTGCGACGATGTTGAACAGATTTGCGCAACTTTGACGAAGAAGAAATTGATGATGGAATTGGGGTGGAACTTGGAAGGCGGAGAGAAGGGGCGGTCGTTGATGGATCGCCGGGGGTTATGACGATTTTTGAGGCGCGTCGTTGCTACTTTGGTTCACAGGACGACAGCTTTGGGAAGGTAAGGCGAGGCAAAGGTAGGCAGGTACCTCCCAGGTTTAGCAAGAAAGGGGACCTTCCCAGTTGCTTAAGCTGCGGCGCATCTGCTGTTTGCTGGTAGAGGTACGTACTCGACTACCAAGCTCGTGTAGCTAGGTACTTACTGTGTAGGGGAAGGTGTCGCCGCGGTGCCTTCCATTCCCATTGAGCGAGGACGGGGGAGCACGGGCCACTGTTCCTGCATTGGTCCATGTTGAAGTTGTCCCTCCCCTCCAGGAATGAGTGTGTCCGTTGTTGTTGCTAGCGATATGCGAGGCGTCTGAAATTGAGTTGAAGAATGCATCGTCGGATCTGAGAGTTTGGAGATGAGGCAGATTCAAGTCTCCAAAAATAGGCTGCAATATCGGCAGAAAGACAGAGACAAAGAGACGTTTGACGGCGCTTCTTCTCTCCTCTTGTCTCATCGAACCTATTTCTTCTTCCCATGGACTTGGCTTTGTCAGGGAGTGAAGTGACATTTTGCCGCAAATCTGGAGATGCATGTTTTCAGTACCACGACAAAGGGAATGAGTCGACTCTTTGTCTCTTGAAGAATTGCCATGGATTTTGCGTTCCAGAAATTGATGAGATGAGCAGCCACAACGTACCGCCCAAAAAGTGAGATTTGTATGAGGCGGGAGACTTATATACAGG